ATTTCCCCATGATCACATACAGCTCACTTGTAACATATAGTAGGTGTGTCATATATATACCATGAATTACATGAGAAGACTATAGGACATTATATCCCCATTAGTTACAAGTCTGGTAACTTTGTTTAGAAGAAGCCTGCCATATTTCTCTCCTCAGATACCTTTTCACTTTGGAAATTCACATGTCTCAAAAGCTGGAAAGTTCTTGCTACTTACAATAGCTTTGCCTGAAAATTGCAGCTCAGAAGCTTTGATGCAGACTTGCGGTGTTTCAGTCCTCTTCTGTTACTCTGTACTGCAAACATGGCATAGTGAACACTGTCCTAGCCACAGAGGGGCTAAGATCCTTGTGTGACCCCAGCACTCGTGCTGCAGTAGCCCCACCAGCATGGGCCAATCTGTGACTTCTCAGAGCCTCAGATTCATATGCAAAAGCAAGGCTCTGCTCACCCTCCATGCCAGCACAATGCCCACTAGATTTGGACCCATCGATGAGGCAGCATGCATGTGGGGGTCACAGCCCCAGCCTCCTACTGTCTAAAGATATGATACTAAGAAATTGTTGATACTAGTGCCTATCTGGCCCTTGAAAATGTCCAAGAAAATAGCCAGGAGGAAAGCAAAGAGATCAGAAGATGAAGAGAAAAATAAAATGAAGTCATCACAAAGGAGGATGCACATAGATTTCATGAGAGGTTGGAGACTGTGATCAAGAGGAGGAGCAAAAGACAAAGCATTTGCTGATGCCAACAATGGCATGTGTAGGTGTTGCGTTTATCCTGTGCTCCTGGTGAACTCCTATGCTAAGTCCACTGGACAGGCCTTACCCTCTAGGGAAGCTACTGGGTCCTTGGATCTAAGTAACCTTTCCTACCAGATGTCCCTGAGCCCAGTCTACCTTAAAAAGCAATCAGCAGGTGTGTCTCCTGATCCTTTTCCTTTGGTTTTTTCAACAGGTGGTAAGGGACAATACCCAGCTGGCTGCAAAAACATGGCCAGGGCAGCAGGATGCCTGCACGGTGCCAAGCCAGCACCAATGCCAAGATGAAGCCAGCCTCTCTCCACTAACAGACTAGGAATGGGAGTCCCTGGTACTCTCAGGACAGTCACAGGTGTGTGTGTGTGTGTGTGTGTGTGTGTGTGTGTGTGTGTGTGTGTGTGTGTGACTTCTAAGGAGACCCATATTCAGAATCAACTAAATAGTAAATGCTTGATGTTGGTGTTGGCTTATTATAGTCATAAACACTAGCTTCTTTTTATTGAATTTTTGAGATTTTCATGAACTATAACTTGATGGTATTTATATCTCCTCCCTACTGCACCTCCCCTTACTGTCCCCCACCCCCCAATTTAATGTAATATATATAGAGAGAGAGAAAGAGAGAAAGAGAGAAAGAGAGAGAGAGAGGCCTACAGAGTCCAGTTTGCATCCCCAAACATACTTCAGTGTGGATCCATTCACGGGAGTCAGGTTAACCTACCAAGAGTCCCATCCTTGAAAGAGACTGTCTCTTCCCCTCCCAGCAGTCATCAGTTACCAAAAGTTCCTAAGGTTGGACTGGAGTTTCTTTAAGTCTCAAAACTGCTCCTTGACAGGGCAGTGTTGCCATCTTCAGCTTCCAGGTCATCCCTACATAGATCTGCAAAGCCATATATGTGAACTCTGAGCCCAGCATGTTTTCTGAAACATCAGAATCTGTCTTGGCCAAAATCAGGGCTGTCACCCGCCTCTGCTGAGGTCAACCACAGACTCCCACCTTGTCCATCATCCCAAAGCCCAATACTCCCAAGGAGAATCCTCATTAAAATCCTGTTATGATGCTCACGTCAGCTACTTTGCTGTCGTGATCGTGGTAAAGCTGTTACAGCAAAGTCCTGATTTACCAGAATCCTAAGAGAATACTGCCATGCAGCAAATGCTTACTTAGTACCTACCATGGACTCTGTAGCCTCCTGGGGATTGAGAATGCTAAAAAAAGAATAACATATCCCTCCATCTCAAGCAGCTCTCAGCTTGATGGGGAAGACAGGCAAGCACTTCGATTCAAAGCAGCAAGCAAAATCCTATGGCTGGGAAAGACACCAGGGGCAACTCCAGCCCAGCCTGGTGGGTGTCTGGGAAAGGTTTCCAGAAGGTAGTGATACCAGTGCTGTGCCAGGGTGAAGGTGAATAGCCAGGAAAAAGTGGGGGGTGGGCCTTTAAGGTGTAGGAAGCATGATGGGAGAAGTGATGGATTTCCACATTTCCTGTAGTCTATCTTTAGAAAAGAGGAAAGAAAGAAAGGAAGAAAGAAAGAAAGAAAGAAAGAAAGAAAGAAAGAAAGAAAGAAAGAAAGCCAAGCAAGATCACTTTGTGGGTCTGGTTAACTTAAAAAAAGAAAGAGTATACTAGACTGTGAGCCCACAGTCAGCCTAACTTCCCGGTCTCCCTCCGCCATTAGCCACAACTCAGCACAGGATAATGGGCACTGCGAAGTCTGAATTTTAATCCCTTGCAAAACCCTGAATCATCAATGAAGACTCAGTTATGTTCCCTTGCCTGGGATCCTCCTGAGCTTGAGAAAGGATGTAAAATGCATCCATTTAGTAAGCGTGCCTAAGAAATAGGAGCTCAAATCCAGCCCAACAGGAACTTCCTATAAAACACTCAATTTATCAGGAGCTGAAAATCATAGCCCTGACCCAACCCACTCCACATCTTTCTAACACTGTAGTTCCTGGGTTCTGATTAAGCTCTGCTCTGATTTCCAACTTGAGCTAGGAAAACATTATCTAAGGCTTTGTGCTTCCAATGGACAAAGGGGTGGTCAGCAATGTCTAGCAAAATACCCAGAGTCTTCCGGATCAGAACTGGGATCTGGGCTCAGCAACGGAGCTGAAAACCCTCATTAAATGTGAGCCCCAGAAACACTAGGCCTGCCATCTTAGGCAAGTGATTTTTATCTCCTGAAGTTGTCAAATCTTCATCCATCAAACAGAAATGATAATTATTACCTCATTAGCGTCATGTGAGAACTAAGAAAGATTTGCTTATGTGCATGCTCAAGACTGGGTATCTGACACTTCCTTCTCATAGTCTTAAATTTTCCTGGGTCCTCTCTGGTTTGGCACTTTCAAACCTGTTTCCAAGAGAGGAATAACTCTACAGTAGAACAAATGAGGCTCTGTCTATAATAGGTCTTAGCTATTCGCTCTGCTGACTGGTCAAGACAGGGCTGCATGTGTCAGTAAGAAAGGTGGGAGAAAAAAGCAGCAACCAGAAGCTTCTGTAGAACCCCAGGTTTGGAAGCCAGTAAATACACACTGAACGACATTCATGTCCAAGTGATCTGGGATCCGTGTGTGTTTTGCACACTTGGATAATTTGTTGCACCTTCGAATACTATCCACATCCCAGCATTCACCTCTTTTTAAACAGGGTGCTAGAGACCAAGAAATGAATGCAGTTTTAATCCTGTTTCACCATGAAAGAACAATTGCTAAGCCTAGGATCTGACCCCTCCCAACAGCTGCAAACACACAGACAGCAAAGGCTTGAGGGGACCAAATCCATGTTCCTGGCAGGGTACTCCACACCCTCCTACTGCTTCCTCAGTCTCCAGGGATGCACCCTCTGAAGGCCTTGGCAACCTCAAGAAACCTGTTGCACAAGTCTGAGGTCTTGTGTGGACCCCCCCCCCTGGTGGCCAAATCAGGAAAAGCTGTTCCAACCTCAGGAGACTGGCAGGTAGCTAGCTGAACAAACTCAAGAGGTCCCCTGAGCCCTTCCCATCAGTCGTAAGTCAACGGGAAGAAAACCAACTGCCTAAAATACAAAAGAGGCAGGGTCAAGGTCATGGCCAATTTCTCCGCCAGCCCCTGGTATTCATACAGCTTCCTAAAATGCAGCCTTGGAGATAGCTAAGCCAAGGCTAGGAGGCACCTGACAGCAGGAAGTGCCCTGTCAGACCCCAGGTGTGCTGACAGTCACAATGGCAGTCCTGGGTGGGGAATCCTTCCGCTAGCATCCCTCCCCCACTCCTTAAATACAGCTGGATTTTCCATCACCAGCGTCAGGTACACTGGAAGTTCTATTTTCCTCCTGGCCCTGTATTTACCGCCTGGCTAGCATAGAGACCATTTCTAGAGGAGTCCCTGGGGACAAACTTCCCACCAGGCCTCTCAGGTCCCCAGTATCCTGGTCCAGCCAAGGCAAGAGGTGGGCAGCAGTTGAGCGAGAACAGAATCCAAATCATGGAAATGTTGCAGCCTCAACCCCCACCCCACCCCATCTCTGGCTCTGCTCTGCTAAACCCCAAACCTTAACTTACTAAGCTGGGAAATCCCGCCCCTGCCCCTCTCCCAATTGGTTCCTTAAAAGAACACAAAGACTTGCATTTTTGACCTGTCCAAATCTCCTAGTAAGAGCAACACCGAGTTCTACACATCAGCACAGAGTCCTAGGACGGGTACCACACACATGTCTCTCTCTCTCTCTCACACACACACACACACCACCACCACCACCACCACCACCACCACCACCACCACCACTGTGGGCAGTGTTCACCACTACCATCCCCAACTGTGAAATTTATCATCTAAACTGCGTGGCGATTCCAAAAGAAGAAATCCACCCCAAGCAGAAACTGCGCTCACGGGAGCACTCATTTTGTCCTGCTCAACCCCACATTCGTTAGAAAAATCACCCAATTCTTCCAAGCTTCCATGTCCACATCCCAGAAGGTGCACAAACGCGCATTCGCGCGCGCACTCGCCACCCAAATCTACAAGTCAGCCCCGGAACCACGCTTCTTTTAAGCCCTAGTGCCCAAGGCACCCTGAGTGGCACACAGTCACACGCCAGAGAAGCATGCACTGAGGCCAGACTGGTTGGTCCCTCACTCAGCGAGAGAGCGCATCTGGATGGCAAAGCCCAGACACTTCCTCAGCCGCAGCCCTGACCGCGAACCCCAACATGCGTGGCCGCCGCGGGGCGCCCCGAGTGGCCAGGTACTCACACGAGCGCGTGGTAGAGCAGCGCCCAGCCCCGCGGTCTCTCCAGGGCGTCGTAGATCAAAGTTTGGATGCGCCTGTACTTGGCGTTGTTCCTCTTGACCGGGCGGCTCAGGGGGGTCTTGGCTAGGAGCCCGATGCCCTGCGGGGTCCTCCGCAGCCCCTCGTCTCGGCCACCGCCCTCCAGCAGCAGGGTCCCGTCTTTGTCGGCTCCGGCCCCGAGCGCCAAGGTGACTTGCTCCACGTCTCCGGGCGCCAGCCCCACTTTCCGCTCCTCGTCGCCGGCCGCCGCGTCCCCTCCGGCGGGGTTAGCAGCTCCGCCACCTCCGCCGCCCCCGTCGCCGCCGCCGCCGCCGGCCGCCCCCGCCGATCTGCGCGCCTTGAGCCCCATCTACCTCGCCCCAGCTGGCCGCTTCGCCTTCTCCGCTGCTGCTCGGGGAAGAAGGGGCGCTCCGGGTGCGTGGACCAGGCGGCGGCGGCGGCTGCAAGCCCGGGAACTCCAATGCCATGATCCGTGCGCCCCTCCCCGCCCACCCCCTAGAAGCAGGCAAAGGCGGGCCTCCAGGCGGGCAGAAGAGGCCTGGCCCGGGGATCAGGGGTTCACATCCCGAGCGGGTTCACATCCCGAGCAGGTCCGCCGCGGGACCCCGAGGGGCGACGGAGTCGGTGGCTGCAGGAGCCCGGCGAAGGGCGCGCGAGGCTGGCGCGGTGGCGCTAGGGCGCGCGGCGGCGGGAGCCTGGAACCGGAGCTCCCGGACGGCGGCGGCGGCGGCGGCACCCGGGCGGGCGAGCCCGAGACAGCATCGCAGTTTATTTACAAGCCCTGTGCCAGCCGCCCTCCCGCCCGCCTGCCTGGCACACGCGCCGTCGCCGCCTCCTCCTTCCTCCCCACTCCCGCCCGCGCCCCGCCCGCAGCTTCAGCCTCAGCCCGGCGGCGGCGGCGGCGGCGGCAGCAACAGCAAGCGGTCGGCTGCATGCACACGCCGCCCGCCCCCTTCACTTGCTCCCTCCTTCCCCCTCCCTCGTAGGGGTGGGGCCCCATGGTCCCGCCCCTTCGTGGCAGGAGGCCAGGACGGCGCCACGCCCCTCCCGGCCGCCCCCAACCCAGCCTGTCCGGGTGACAGGGATTGCGGTGGCTGCGTCTCCTCTGCTGCTGCCAGGTCTTGCGCGCCGCGGCCGCCCCACTGGAACTCCCCAAGCTCTCGTGGGCGTTGGGGTTTCCCCATGAGAGAGGAGAAAAAGAAGGGGAGCAGGCAGGGACTGTGGTTGCAGCTTTATGTTCAATCTGCACCCTTCATCTCCCTTCCTTGACTTTGGAGGTAAAAATCCAATTAACCAAGTGCACACCAAACCTACTGGCTCAGAGGTAACATTTCCTGTGTAAGGATGGTCAGGGCCCACGGTGGTTATCGCCTCTCCTAGCCCTTGGGTAGCCCCTGTGGTTGGGCAGAGAGCTGAAGAAATACATTTGAACGTTAGGCTAAGAATCTTAGCTTCTGCTTGACTTCTAACTCCTGCTGCAGGCCAGTCCTTCACTCCCTGTGAGCCTATTAGGATCCTTCTGGGAAATCACAGGATCCACAGCAGTGTGCTTGCGGGAGGACAGGGCATTTATCTCCACCAAGGGTTTGAGACCCCTGTGCTCATAGAACTTAAAACCTACTGACAGATAGATAGAGCACAGCCAAACGGCAAGTGTGAACCAAATAATTCCCAGTGCAGAAACTAAACAGGAGCCCGTGTTTCTGTGATTTGAGGGAGTTGCCTTGGATGGGCTGATCCAGTGAGGCCCCACTGAGGTGACAATTTAAAAAATAAAACCCAAATGGGAAGCTGGATCGTTAATGTTCAGAAGAACCTTCTAGACTGCAGACCAGCGAGTAGGAGAAAAGCAGGGCCTGGGTTTGCTGAAGGCAGAGAAACCTGATGTTGAGATCAGGCAGTGTCCAGATCTGGTCAGCTACTGGCGCCATGGGCAGAGGGCAGGGGCTCCTGAAACTCCGCACAGGCCGGTCAGAGAAGCTGTCTTGCTGCACTAGGGTGCTAGGGTACCTTGTCTCCTCACTGCCGGCTGGCTCCTCATGACTGGCTGAGGTGGGGGAAGAAACTAGCTGTAAGGTCAAGAATCCAGCCTTAGTCTACAAGAAACGAGCAGAGGTCTGACTGGAGAATTTGGACAAGGAGAGCCAGAGAGAAAAGGGAGGAAAGGGGGAAGGCATAGAGTGGGAAGGAGAAGTCAGAGGGGGGCCACCTGTAAAGGGGTGTCAAGGGAAAGAACTATGAAGTCTCAGGATTAAGGAGGAAGGAGCTTTCAGAAGGTTAAACTTTAAGGATGAAATCATTGACAGTGTGGCATTGGCACAACAATAAACAAGTTGTTATATTCGGGGTTGAAGAAATTCCCCAGAAGCTCAGGTATCTGAACACTTGGTCCCCAGCTGGTTGCACTGTTTGGGGATGTTTGGTGGCTGCAGCCTTGCTGGAGGAAGAATGTCACTGGGGGCGGGCTTTGAGGGTTTGTGGCCTCTCTCCATGTCCAGTTCACTTGTTGTCCTTGGTTTGGTGTTGATGATGCGATCTCTCCATTTCCAGTGTCTGCCACCATGACTGCTGCCATGGACTCCCCCTCTTGAAACCTAAGCCCAAATGAACTTTTTTAAGAAGTCGTTTTTGGTCATAGTGTTCTATCACAGCTGCAAAAGTAACTGATACATTGCACCAGAATAGTTTTCCCCCAAAGCTGGCTCTAATATGCAAACTTAGTAAAATCAGAAGACTCGCGGCCATGATCAGTGGAGAAAGATATTTACTGGTCAAATGGAGATGGGGAATGGGTTTTGTGAGGAGACCTAAAACAAGATATGTGAATGTGACCAGCACGGTGCTCAGTGCAGAGTAGCTGCCCCCACATTTATGAATAGTATAATGGTCCACAATGAGTTGAAACATAGGGGTCAGCATACATTCTGAAAAGCAGGAAAGACCAAAGGAAAGGAGACTGCCTGGGTGAGAAGCCCCTCCTTGCCCACCCATCAACCCCCACCGAACTAATCACAAGTGGCTACACTGTAGCGATGGACTGAGTATTTCCCAAGGGTTCATGTGTTGAGATTTAATCCCCATTTTGAAGTACCCAGAGGGTGGAAAGCAAATCTACCTCTGGTATTTGGGAGCTGATCAGGACTAGAAAGAACATCATCAGGGTGGGACTGCCATGTTGAATCCTGGTGGCTTTATGAGAAGAACAGAGGCCTGGATACACACATTTTCCCTGTCTCTCGCCATGGACTCCCCTGTGGCACTTCAGCACTTATGGCTTAAGAAAGCTATTGCCAGATCCAGATCTTGCCTTTGGATGACCTACAAAAACGATCATCCCTTAGGTAGAAGGACCTTTTTGAAATCACTCCTTTTCCTCAGTCCATTCGTATCTATTCATTCATATTTATCACTACCTGAAGTTACCACTTCTAAATTTTCTTTACTTCTTTCATTATTTTATTTTATGGTTTGAATATGAAATGTCTTCCACAGACTCATGTATTGAGCGCTCTTTTTGGTAGCTGTGTTTTGGAAGGTATAGAACTCTTAGGAAGGAGTGAGACCTAGCTGAAGGCAGCAAGCCACTGCAGATTATCCTGAAGCACCTTGTCCCTCCCAGCCCCCTGTACCTCTCTGTGTTTCCTGTCCAACATAAGGTTGGAACTTTTATGCTCTGTGAGGCTCCTGTTGCCATGATGTTCTGCCCAAGCACATAGGGCCAAGCAGTCATGGGCTAAACCCTCTGACACCATGAACTCAAAGAAATCCTTCCTTCCCTAGGTTACCTGTTGGGTCTTTTGTCACAGCATGAAGAAAAGTAACTAATATACTTACTAAACAAGGTCAAGGACTGAGCATCCTATCTCAAATCCTAGATGCATGTACGTTCTGCAGCAGGCTCTTAGCTCTTAGATATGTGCTGGTGCACGCCTTTGATGCCAGCACTCGGGAGGCAGAGGCAGGCAGATCTCTGAGTTCAAGGCCAGCTGGTCTACATAGTGAGTTCCAGGACAGCTGGGGCTACAGGGAGACCCTGTCTCAAAAAGACATATATATATATATATATATATATATATATATAATAATCATTGGCATGTTCAACATATGTTTGTATGTGAAAATTTTTAGGGATTTTTTCTTTTGTTTATCATTGGGAGACTCTTCATGCTTAGTTAGTCCTATTTTTATGGTGCTCAGAAAACCTCACTAGATAAGCACACAAGATGAATTTTGAACCATGCAGAAAGATATGACAGCTAATCTTGATTGTGAACTTGACATACCTGGGGAGAGGAACCCTCAGTTGAGGACTTTCTTCCATTAGACAGGCCTGTGGGTATGTCTGTAGGGCATTTTCTTGACTGCTAATCAATACAGGAGGGCCCAGCCCACTGTAGGTGGTGCCATCCATTGGCTGGTAGGCCTGGGTTGTGTAAGAAGGGCAGCTGAGCATGAGTCTGGGAGTGAGCCAGGAAGCAGTATTCTTCAGTGGTCTCTGCTTCAAGCTCCTGCCTTGACTTCCCTGAATGAAGGACTGTAAACTGTAACCTAAATAAACATTTTCCTCTGCTAGTTGTTTTTGGTTAGTGTTTTATCACAGTAACAGAAAAGCAAACTAGGACAGAAGACATAAGATTTTATTACTCTGCAGTTAATCAAAAATTTAATCTTCCAAAACGGTGGCTTGGACCTTCAGGTACACGAGGAGGCCTCTGCTTAGATGGAAACACAAAGGTCAAATGCTTATGTTATAAGGCCCAGTGCAGGGACCATTTCCATGCCTCCCATAAAGGATGAGGCAAACTAAGCATCAAAACCATGACTCTGATCCAATTAAATCCAATGATAGGGAAACTGCCAGGTGGTTGAGTCTGGGAAATTGATTTATTTCGATAGCTTTTTAATCCTACAGAGAGCACTGTTCAGATTTCTAATAGAGGGTTTTGAAATGCCAGGAAAGGCAGGATAAACAGTAAGTATCACTTGAGGGGCTCTACAGTCACAACACAGCACAGAATCCAACTAAAGGAAATCACTTGTCCTACATCCCTAAAGTCTCCAAGATCCCCTGATACCTGCTAGGCATGATGTCAAGACAGAGAATGAGGACTACAGTCTAAGCAAGATATTCTTGGACACCCCCGCTCCAGTTTGAGTCCCATCTAAAAACCCAGCTACTTGCTGCTCCTCAAATTTGTTACCTGCTTCCTCTTTATATTCTTTAAACATTTGTATTAGTACATTTCTATTGCTGTAAGAAAATGCCCAAGTCTGAGAATTTTATAAAGAAAGGGAGTTTTGTAAGATAAAAGTTCAGAGTGTCATTTTGGACAATTGAATCAATAGGATGGACCTGTTGATTTCGGTCTCTGGTTTCAGGCTCCATTGACTGAGATATGTCAGATCCTCAGAGGAGGAGGGCAGCTGAAGGAACTCTTCTATTAGTCA